CAAGCCCCAGAATTGTGGCTGTAACGGACAGAGATCTACTCCCCGGAGGCGCTAAGAACAGTTTTTAACAATGTAAAATTTTGTAAAGTATGCTCTCAGAAAGTCAAGCAGCCGCATTTGTAATCTAACAATCACTGGCGCCTTGCGTTGCACCGTAAGCCACAAAAGTATGATATCGTTTTGGACCTTTGATTTGATTTTTTTTTATTATTATTAATATTATTATGTAGGGAGTGTTAATTTTTCTATGCACCACTGTGTGATTTGGGTTGGGCAGAGACGTGTAAAACTCTGTTCAAAGCAAAATTAAACTACACACTACTTGATATCATCGACGATTTAATTGCAGTTTTCACTTTACTGCTATTTTAAGGAACTTTTGTGGACGTTCTTTTAATTGAGAGGGAAAAGTAGGGTCTTGTGGGTAACCTGGGTGGTCATACTGGCGAATTTTTTTTTCTTTCTTGCCCTTATTTTCTAAGAAAAGGAAGTAGTGTAATTTCGACGGGAAACTCAAAATGGTTGGCAGAATTTTTTTTTTCCCCCTCCAAAGAATGAGACTTTTATTTTTAAAATCTCAGCTTTGCGCAGCAAAGGGAATTAAAATTTTGTGTGTTTACATTATATTTTGATTTGACTGAATAATTGTCGCAAGTTCTTTAGATCAAAGAGTTTTCAAACTGGCACATGAACCCGACAGGGTAGTAAGGGATTAGTAATTTCAGTACAACACAATGAAGAAATTAAAATTGATGCATTGTTCCACATTCTTGAAATACTTTATTACCTATATTTAAGATATTTTCAGTTTAATAAGCGTCTTAGTTTCGCTAGATATTTAAAACAATTTAGCCAAATTAGTTATATATCCTTGTGCCGCCGGCGGCGAATATGTGGAGCCCCACCTTCACCTCCAACATTTTAATAGTTACCATTCAGTTACATTAAACGTCATGCAGATTGTGGGGGTACAATCTTCGAAAATTTTTATAATCTCTGCTTTGCCTAATCAGGAGATCGTGGCTGTTTGTGTGGTAGTTAGACGTGACATTTTGACAGGTACCTCCCAAGCTTTCGTTTCCTTAAAATGTAACGTTTTGTAACTCTGAAAGGCGATTTTCGAACGTTTAATAAATAAACTAAGAGGAATTTAAAATGTCCTTTAATTGCCAATGTGGTAACGATGGGAAGCGAAAATTTAATTGTAAACTTCAAAAATAGTTGACTACGAATTACTTGAGATCTATTGTTAAGCGTGCGAGATCGACGGATATGAAATTTGTTTATCGTTCCATATTAGTAAACAAGAAATGATACGTATTTTTCGTACTATCTCCCATTATGAGTCATTCACCCTTGTTCGCGCTTGTAAGTGCTAATACAGTGGCGGCAGGGGGGAAGGACGGCTTGACCCAAGCCCCCCCCCCCCTTTTTAGTCATTCCAATGAAATGAAAAATATATTTGTGTATAACGCTAAGTTATTTCTGATGCCTGGAGAAATTAATTCTGTTTATGAATTGTGGGAGGGAATTTTTAGTTTGAATTGAAGGGCCCTGTTTACTCTGGGCGTCCGTGGCTACTACCCGGAGTGCCTACAAAGTTGGTTGGTTCTATTATTGTAACCCGTGGTAATGAACTGTGTGTTGTTCGTATTACCTATTGAATTTTTTTCATGAGTTAGTCTAGTAACTTTTTGTGCTGGTGCATTTTGTAAAATCTTCAAGTTTCTCTAGAAAAACACCACGGTGGCAGATGAACTGCTGCATGTCCTTACTTCATGAATTTCTATGAAGATTCAAATATGATTCTTTCTCAGGGCAAAAGAGAACATCAGTGCATGCTGAGGAAGGTCACAGAACTGGAATTTTCAATGAAAACTTGGAAAATCCATGTCGAATGGCGATGTAAATATGTTCCCTGTATACCCATTTAATTAGTACCATAATCGCAAAAGAAGATACGTCACAAAGTTAGATCGTCTTCCAGAACTAAGTTGATCAAATTTTAATTTTACTGTTCGCTTTTTTGTTTGATTTGTTCGTTTCTATTGAGAAATGAGATGATTAGTGTTAATCGCAGCATTTTCGCACAAATTCCGCGTCATTTGGCGTCGAGATTCATATTTTTGGTTAATTGAAAACCCATTATTTCTGGATATCATTACAATGTTCGAAAGTTAATTTAATGGCAATATTTGGAGTAAAGTGAGCTTATTCTGAGTATGTACATATTTATTTTAAAATTTGCCTTATTCTAATGCAATTTATTATTTATTTTATGAATTAACTGCTTTCCTATTCAACTAATTATTACAAACGAATGTTGGTTGCATGAATAAATTTGGGTATGGGTTGTTTTGATCTTGCATTAAGTGCCGTTGATTATTGAAGTGTTATTTAAGCAGTGAAATTCCTGGATAACTATAGGGTCCAGGGACATTCCGTTCTTTTTTAAATGATTGTTCAGCAACCAAAGCTTAAGTTATGTGAGTAAATGATTTACCAGCCGTGGCATTATTTTTATGTAAAGTTTTGTTTATAATATTTAGTGTTATCTTTAGCTTCTTTTGTGCCATGCCTATGTATTCAGGTCGATTTGCCTTCCGCGGAACGTTCATATTCGCATCTGCGCCGCAGTGGTGCACGCTTTATTGTCGCTCGCGGTGCACGGGATGCCGCGTACTCCCGAGCCCCAGCTTCGAACGAGCTTAGCCTAGAATACGCTGCACCCGTTTTCATGCGGGAGCAGTCCAACTTTCCCTGATGGGGGTGCTGGTTTTGGCATATATGAACAAAATAATGCTGGAATGTCTTTTGTATAGTATTGATAGAAATAAGTCCTTTTCCGCGAGGACTTTTATAACAAATAACCTCTGCTCTTAGTCGAAGTGTTTGTGTGCGATGCGAGGGCCTGAGTGAGAACCAATCGATTCAGAATATTCCGTTTCATTGATCAGGAAACCATACTATTTCACAGTTTCTTGGCTGATAAGTGGGCCGAACATTGTACAATTGAGAGGGGAAAACTATAATTTCTTTATTAGTGGGAAATAGTCTACGAACTTTCTCAAATATTTTCTTGGTTTAATAATTTCAACGTCAAACTTTCTGCTAGATCTTACCTTATTTTCGTTAATTATCCCCGTTTTCGTAGTAGTTAATAAACTATTGCAATTGCTTTACGCTCTCAAACTTTGTGATGACAAGGATCGCCGAGCCATGTCCAATCAGGACTTCGGAAACGCGCGCGCTTGGAGGGGATTGGCTAGTGAAGTACTTGTGACCGCCTCCTCGTGGAATACAAATATACGAGGAACTTCAGTGACCTGAGCTTCGGCAAATTTGGTATTGGAACCACTAGGAAGTCTTTAAAAAATATTTATAATTCTAACATAAATTATAATAAATGTTGGATAGCTAAGCGCACGCATTATACTTTAGAAATCAATACATAGTTTGGGATTGTTGCATTTGCTACACACAGATGGAGTTCACACCGAACTTTCAAGAGGAAGACTTGTTTATTTTTTTTGTGTAAGAGAAGACCTAAATAGTTTTGTAAGTGATCAGCGAATACTTTTCCTGTGACGAAAACTTTAATTTAACCAAATCGTTCGTAATTATGTATTCCCTCATTTTGGACAATAAACTAACAGAAGACAAAAGTTATTTGTCCCTACAACTTTTTCTTTATTAACGGGTTGTAAACTTTAATAATTTGTATTGAATTTTTTCTTTCATAAAAAGTTTATTTCTATTCTAGGGCAGTATTAATTATTAGGTATTCTTAGAGTATTTCACGTTGCATATTAGCAGGTAATTTTTTAATGTGCTTTTACCCTGTTTTATTATTCTTTTATTTTCTAAATTAACTAATATGCTATTCAGCTAATTTAAGTATTATAAGCGCATGTTTTTGAGCCCGGAATCTTCTCCCACCCCTGTGCTAAAAATTAAATTCAAAATAAACTATAGCAAGGAGTGTTGACAAAATCGGATAAGCAGGAATCCTCGTTTCCGTATAATAGAAATTATTTGGTTTAAAAAAAAAATTCAGACTTGATATAATAGGTCCCATCGACAAAATGATCACCGCGCGCGCGCGCCTTTATCGAAATGGGGGCTCAAGAAAATGCACGCGCGGATAATGACTCTTACCTGAGGATGGCCATGTGGCAAATCTGATATCTTTCTGCAATGGTTCTAATTTTCACATAGGTGGCAGAACGCGCACGACGGCTATTTTATAAACAAATGTCATTATTGCGAAACTTAGTGTGAGCGTTCCAACGAATGCAAATGGAATTAAAATCCATAACAGAATGTTGCTTTATACAGTTCAAGACCGCATGTTTTCTCAAAACTAACTACAAGTACTTTTAAATTCCTTTTATCCTCAAATCTATTAGCACTAAAAAAAACTTAGTAAATGGCTTTATTTTGAATCCTGAGTAGATGTCAGGATTATGTTTAACAAATGTTCTGATTCATTTGAATTGTGCAGTGTTAGAAGTGTCACCATCGTTTGGTCACTAAGAGGTTTTTATAGAATCCCATTAAATATTGAAAATCAGGTCAAACTCGTCAAATATGATTTTAGGGAATCTTTTTGGCATATAGTGGACAAGTTGCCTATCAGGTTGAATCATAATTGTACAACAGCTTGTTCATGAATAAGAACTGGGTTTTTCTTAACATGGAGTCAGATTTTGGTTGTAGCCTTATTAATATATATCTTATATACCTTACACTAAGAAGAAATAAATTGTGAAACAACACTCATATAGCACTCCAGTGCTTGTAGTGAAATTTCTTGATAAGTAGGAGGAGGAATATTTATAAATGTGTGCTTATAGAATGACATTGTTTAGGAGAGGAAAAAATTAGGTATATTTGAAGTAATATTTTTGCTTGCAAATTTTATTACAATTAATAAAATTACAATTTTACCCCTCTCAGTTAAATATTAATATTTTTTTTCAATGTGTTTTGATTTCTAGGATCTGACAGGTCAGAACAGCAATGACAGTACCAGTGGTCCTGGTGCGCCTGGCACACCAAATTCTCAGGGTATGAGGCCAACGCCCTCGCCCACTGGCTCAACGGGCTCTCGCTCCATGTCACCCGCTGTTGGTAAGTTCCTTCTAAAAGGTAAAAACGTTTTGAGATTGAAATGAAATGTGGTTTTTTGCCATAATGGGGAAATTCATTAGGCTTCATTCATTGCAGAAGTGAGTGAGACCTCCAGATCTATACGCAAAGAGGCTATATTTTTCTATTTATTTTTTTGTTGCTGCCAATGAAAAGTTAGTAGGTTCAAAGCACAGGAGAAGTTTAAGAGTAAGAAATCACATCAGTGACAATAGTTTCTTAATGGTAAAATGACAAAAGTAGATTTTCAAGATGGGGAGACGATCATCTAGAAATCATTTTTAATTAAATCAGCTCATTAATCAAAAAGTTCTAGGATCTTCTGAGCATGAAGGCAGAGAATTTCATTACTTCCTAATATTAAGAAATAGCAATTGTGAAACTAATTTATAAAGAGTTTGTGAAGATTTTTCAGAACTTCTTTTTTGTGCTTTGGGCTTTTATGATTCTAAGTGTGTCTTTTTGATACACATCAAGTGTCATGGGGTCTAGCAGTCACTATAATGTATAATGTACATTATTTGAAATGTGTAATCTGCTTTAATACTTGAGGCTATAAGGTAATTCTTACTTTCTTGTATAGTATATTCATTTTTTATAGACAAATAAATTACATAAAGCTTCATGGTGTAATTGGGAGTGACATCTTGATAGTCTTTGATTGAGTTTCTGAAACATACAATGGTGAGACTCTTAAGGCATTCTTCACACTATCAGGCCTGCTCTTCTGCCTGACTGTGCAAATTCTGCTCTGCTCCTTTCGGCATTTAAGAGCGAAAGAAGGTATCTCTTGGGTGGTTAGAATTTAGAAAAACAGACTTTTAAGAGTTAAGCTTGGTGATTTCTTTCAAGGTTGATGAACTTTTAAGACGCAGTAAATGTTGAAGAAGAGACAGCATCAGATCGTGCTCTCTTACTTTCTTTCTGTCTCTCTCTCTTTGCCTCCCCCTGCTGATGAAGCCAGAGGATTTTTTAGCCTTTAAAATCCATGGCTTTGAAGGGATTTGATCCTATCAACTTGCCTATAATAGATGATAATGCTAACCTTTACATCAATGAATTCCCCTACAAAATCAGTTTAAATATTAAATTTACTTAAAATGTTTCTTTGGTTATTTCAGGCCAACAGAATATTCCAATGCCTCCACGCCCTTCCAGTGGCCAATCTGATGGAAGTGGACCTGCACGCATGAGTCATTCTCCCATGGCCACTCCAGGTGGTTATCAACAACCGTTGGGGCCACCACACATGCATGGTGCTTACAAGATTGGGTCTCATCCTCCTGGAATTGTACCTCCTACAGGACAGCAAATGGGACCCTACACCCCCCCAAGTCAACAGTATTCACAAGGTAGCAAGGCATTCTGTGACCAATGAACTTAACAGCATGTTTCAAAAAGCAAAGCAAAATATATTTTGTTCATCATGTGTGTTGTAATCATAATTTAAAAGTACACCTTAGTTAAATAAATACTGCTCATTTGAATATTTAATTTAATTTTGGTTCAATATCGGAATGTTCTGTTCTAGACCCAAATGTAACATCATACTTTGTTGTTATTAGTGCTCTTTGAAAACGCTAATAAAGTATGATTCTGTTTGCACATTTCAGGTAACTACGTTGCACGTCCACAAGGGCAATTAGGCAACATGCAGTATGGGCCAACCCATGGATATGGTCAACAGAATCCTCAGGGTAATAGTTTGAGTGCAGGCCAATACCCTAATCGTCCCATGCCAAATCATGTGCCTCATTCACAGTTTGGTGGCTACCAGGTACTTATTGTTTATACAATCTCTTGCCTTTTAATAATTTTTTTAATTTGTGTATTTATTTTTGTGAAAATATTATACATTATCTGTGTTACGTTGGTTGACATATTGTAATATTCCTGTTTGACATACATTATTATTCCAAATGAGGTGTTCCATACACCTCAGCATTTAATCTTAAAGGGTTAAAAACATATTTTATGTATTTGTTTGAGGTAACCAGCTGTAAATTTCATAGCAATATGATTCTATTATTTACATGAAACAAATTGCACAGGCTCTAATGTATAAATGATTATTCATTGCCATTTTTTATCTGTTCTTGTAACCACATGAGAGTGGAATTCCCTTTCCTTTTATATAAAGAAAAAGGAATTCCATATAAACAAATCATCTTAAATGTTGAATTTTATTGTTTATGCACATATGCTGAATTAATATTAGAATATCTTTATAATTTAGTGTGCTAAGTTTTATTTTATTGGATATGTAGTGATCTGAAAAAATTACATGTAGAACATTGATACCTTGGTAGCATAAGTAACAGTACGACTCGCCTAGTCTTCACTTCCCAAAGCAGTCTCCCTGCCATAACCAGGATTGCGACCCACCACTTTCTGGTACTGAACACTCTCATGTTAATGTTGACATCATCTATCTTGCTTTGGATCAACCTCAAGTTAATGATTGTTTTTGATTACACCAATCAGTTGCTGGGCTACATTTGGCTATCGTAGATTGCTGTTAAAATTTCATCAATCCCTAAAGGGTTGTTATAAACCCTGCAGGGAACCTCTTTGCCAGAGGAATCTCATGTTGCAGGTCATTTTTTACAAAAAATTCTGATACGGTTGCCTTCATTTTTGCTGTTGGGCAGCATCATAGCCATGGCCATGTAAAACATAGATTCCCAATGAGAGTAATATGTAACGGAGGGGGCATGCAGTCAAGAGGGGCAGTTAATGCCTTACCTACTCATTCAGTACTGAAATATTTTAAAAATATTTATTTATAATTTTAAAAAGAAAATTATAGAATATATTTTAAAATATTGCATACGTGAGCGAACCTCATTTGCAACTTTTTCTTCATGCAATGGGTGTAGTAGGAGAAGGCAAAGTATCTCCTTATTTTTATTTTATATTAATTTTGTATTCATTTTTAAAAATTTAATAAATAATTTTATTGCCTTACATAGGATTGTTATTAACATCGCCTTTATAATTTTTAATAGATAAATAAACAGATGAAGTAGGATCAATAATATGCAATGCAATTTTGATATTTCGTGTAACATGAACTGTTGTGGACTATGGGGCTTTGGAATTTTTTTCTCCTATAGGGGCAGTGGTCCAGGAGAGGTTGGGAACTTCTGATCAAAACTAACCTAAGAAATTTTGGTTGCATGGCCATCTCCCCCATTGCTTCATGGATATTGCTTGATTTGTTAACATACAAAATTTCTCTTCAAAAAATTGTCCATTTGGTTGCAGGGCTGGGGCAGTCCTGGCATTGGCCAGGGTCCGCCCTCTAATGCAGTGGGCACTCCGGGAAATCAAATGCCTCCCAAAGGACCAGGACCTGGTCCAGGGCCTGGCAGTGGCCCTCAACCGCCAAGTGCATCAACTCAGGGCACAAATGCTAGCACAGGGCCTCGTTCTCTTACTCCACCTCATTACCTCAAGCAGCATTTGCAAGTATGTAATCTTTCACTTTGTAATTATTAGAAACTGTGCACTATACAGATAAATTTAATTTTGTTTTCTTCTTAGTGGATTATTTTCAAATATATACATATACCATGAAAACTGGTAAAGATAATAAAATTACTGAATAGCTAACAATTGTTATGTTGGATCGATCTCAATATGTTTGAGCATTTAGTAGGTGGCACCATATTTTTGGAGCGGAGGGTTGTTCTTATACTTGTGTGTAACATTGTGTGTGATACTTACACAGACTGTAGTATAATATTGTGTAGTGCCTAGTCAGCTTGATGTTTGCTTATTAAGAATTTTTTATTTATGCTGGGGGTACCTCATTAGCACCTTCCTCCCCCCTCCCCTTCTACCCCCTCCTTGGGTGCCTTACACCACTGTTAATGTTTTATATATTTAATCTATATTGGGAAATTACTTATAGTACTATGATGATAAAAATGAAGCTAAGTCACATTAATGTGCAAAAAAAATTTTTACAATGAAGGTCTCTATGTACCAGCCCATAATTTTTCATGTGGAATAATGAACAAAATATCTTATTGTGTGTTATGGATGAACTTCCTTGGACTTAATGGCATTCAAACAATCCATCGTCTAAATGGCATTTAATATAAAAGGTTTAAACAACATTTTGATAAGTATTACACTTTCTTCATCCGATGATTGTCCGTAGAAACATTGCAAGATTTGTGGCCACCGCTATATCCTCACAAATAACTTGTAATACTTTCCTGGTCAAATTGATATATCGTCAACAAACACTGATTAATGTCCCATAATGAAGAAATTCTTTTATATGCGTCAAACAAATATTTTTCTGAAATATATGACGTACTATGATTATGGCTTTTCTACCTTTGCTCCCGTATTCATTGTTCCTTCAGTTTACAGGATAAGGAAAGTGAAATAAGTTCAAAACGTGTAATATCCTTTACAGTAATAAAATGCCTTTAACACATGGATTGTTTGATCGTCCTTAATCCAAGAATATTCATCCACAATACAATTTAAAGTGACAATCATTGTTTAAAAGCTATTTTTATAAACAAAATGTTTTGTCATTTTTATCCATTTAAGTTATCCATTAAAGTAATGGTATTTAAATTATTGCTCAGCGAGCTCTAATATGAAATCTGCCAAAACATATTTATGTCTTCCTCATAATGTAGAATGCACTTTTTTTCCTATTTGTTACAGCATTCTGAAATGTGTAATATTTCTCCCCTCTACTAAAACGTTTGGTTGATAATTTTTTAGGTTTGCCTTTGCACGTTTTCAAAATAATGTTTTTATGATGAAAAAGTTCTTGTTGAATCCTCCTTCTCTTGTCCATTGTGAGCCAAACCCATAATTTATTAGTATTTGTAAAGTTTTATTAATCCATTCCTTGTTTTTCAGCACAAAATGTATGGAAGCTCAGGATCAAGTATACCCCCTAGTGCTGGAAGTCTGCAAGTGGGATATGGTGGCAGCCCTTCTGTCGGCTCCAATTCTGGGGTGGGTGTGGGTCCCAGCCCAAGTTTAGGCCCTGGCATGGGTTCTGCTGGAGGCATTCATCATCACGGTCCTGGCAGCATGAACTCACCCATGGGACCTCCAGCATCTGGTCACCTACATCCAGGCATGGGACCTCCTGCACCCAACATGGGGCCACCTGGTCCTAGTGGAATGGGGCCTGGAAACCCTGGAATGGGTCCACCCTCTTCAGGAACTTCCAGTTCAACTAATAATTCGGGACCTATGGCTGTATCCTCACCAAGTGCAGTTCTCCAGGGATCGCAGGGTCCATCTGTTTCTACTAATGCTGCTTCTCCAGTACCAAATAGTCACCATGATGGACCTATGCCTCCACCAATTACATCGAGTAATTCAAATTTGTCTCATCCTCCTCCGGCAGGACAGGTGCCTAGTGGCAGTCATCCAGAAATTAATTCAGTATCTGAATCTCCTCATGATAATGGGATAGCCACAACTACAACAGGTAAGAAATAGAAATTGCGTCACAAATTGAAGAAAGGACCAAAATGAACATCGGTAATTTTTATCGCATGAAATAAAATTTTGAACCTTGATTTAGTATGACTAGAATGGATTTGTCTTATTTATGTGTCGTTATAGTTTAATATTATGTAAGACATTAATGAGATATTGACCAGTGATGGAAGGCACTAGTTCTGATTACTTTGTTTTATCTCTATACTGTAAGATATAATTCAGTTGAATATATAATATAATTACTTTATAGTGTGTATACACACAACATAATTTTACATATTACATTTTGGAATTCATTGTATTAACAGTTGCAGGTACCACACCAACAAATGTGACACCAGCTACTCCTGGAACAGTAACATCTGTTGTGACCACTGGTCCAGATGGCACTCCATTGGATGAGGGATCTCAGCAGTCAACTCTTTCAAATGCTTCGCAAGGTATGGGCTTGGAGACCTCTTTATAATTAGTTTTAATAGGATATTAGTCCATACATGGTTAGTTTGTAGAGGAACAAACAAAAAATAAGACCTCTTACTTTAGCTAAGACAAAATTAAAACAAAGAACGCAACCTCAAAATGCACATACGAGATAGTGTTGATGAAAAGTTACAAATTCCAAAAAATAAGAACATTTTGCACTTATTCTGAATTATAGCTTGCATATTCCAATATTTTGTTTGTTCATCCTCATTCTGCCATTAAATTTGGTAATTGCTAACATTGTTTTTTCCTTCAGACATGATTGCCAGTATGGATGTACCTTTAGTTGCCTAGGTTGTTGTGTGTATTTTTGTTTATTTCATTAAACGGGATGAACCCATTTCTTTAAGAAAAAATACATACACAATGACAAATATACAACTACAAAATATCAAACTAACAAATATTAAAATAGACATAGAAAAAAAAATAAGGATGTTGTACAAAGGAAAGAAAGGAGAAAAATATATTTAGAATCAAGAGTGTTTAAAAAGAACAATTTTAAACTCTTTCAAATCATTTATGGTCAGAATTGATAAAATCTTATGTTGTGATGATTTATTGAGCACAGAAATAAAAAAGGACCCCAAATTCACAATTCGATTGCTTTCTTATTTCTCGGTTAATTTTTCTTTCTGAAGAAATCTATTCATTTCTTTTGTAAATAATAAACAATTTACATGCTTCTACAATGCAAACTTTTGCCCGGAACATATTTTTTCAATCCAACTGAATGCTTATTGCGCCTCAACTATTAGGAATATCCGAGTAGTTTATTATACAAAGTATGCTTAAAATTGTCTTTAGAGCTTATTTTCGAAGTTTCAACATTTCCTCCCCGGACACACTATATAAATAGAGAGAGAGAGATTTTTAAATGTTGATTCACTAATTTTAATTGTAATGTAAACTATAGCATAAATTGTACTTTACCCTACTTGAAACCCAAACTGATAAGCGTTTCTGATGGAATGATTGCCTCTAAAACTTCGAAATCTGATCTTCAGCATTTTCTTGAAAATGTTCACAAAATTTGAGATCAATTAGGTTGGGTTGAAATTCATAGATTTATCCTCATCCTCACTTTTGAGCTTTCGCTTTTTTTAAATGATTAGGAATAATTTTCAATCCAATTTCCATAATTAAATTAAACATATGAGTTGATGGTTTAGATATGCATTTTGCAATACATTTAATTATTCTTTTAGGAATATCATCTATACCAGCTGATTTTATTGCATTTAAAGTGTTAATTATCTTTTTGTTCATGTTTGTGAAGGGGTTTAGAACAACGCCGTTTAGCATAAAATTCATTTAATGCAATGACAAAACGAAATGAGCCGTTTTAATAATTTTGCATTTTTTCAATGATTTGGACTAAAGTCATTATTTAATGCATTTCTTGCTGATTTCAACAATTTTAATATCATTTTAAAGGTACTTGCTTCAAACAATATTTATGAGGTGCAACAAATGTTCACCACATAATTTCTAAGTAGCCTATTCCATTTCTTTGGTCATTTATTGTAATGTCAGCCTATGTAATGTAAAGTTTCTGTGACACCTAAAGGCATCTTTGTCTGTTCAGCCAATTGCACGATAAATAAAGGCAGATTTCTTTTAAAGAACGGTTCAAGCCAAAAGTTTGCAGACAGAGTTCACTTGAACAAAAGGAATAAGCCTCAACTACGTCAGTAACTTACCCTACAGGTTCAGTTGTTCATCTGAAGTGATTTTAATTTTAAAAAATTGTCATTTTTCTTTGTTTTTGGGACATTTTTTAAAATTACTTGATCTTTTTGGCAATGTTTTAGTTCATCAAAATCCACACCCTAGAAAGCAGGAATCCACAATATTATAGTAATATTAAGTTTTAAAAATATCAATTTCAATTTTACCTGGCATTTTTGGCCTATTCTCGCAAAAGATTCTTCAAATTAAAAGAGGTTTCAGTTTTATCAGTAATATAAGGTTTAGATTGTTCAGAGAATAATATATTAATAGATTTTTCTTTCTGTTCTATTTCTCCCCAGACCAATATTTATAATATGCTACTGTATGTATATCTTGTTTTCTTTTCTTTTTGTGGCACATCAAAATTATCTTTTACCAGATATACACATATTGCTATGTTATATTACTAATGTACTTTTAATTACGTTTAATTTCATTGCTAAAAATTGTTGTTTTTCAGCTTCTGGGGAGGATCAGAATTGTACTCCAAAATCACGGAAAGATGGTTCTGTTGTTGGTGGCTACCATAGCCATCCACCTACACCTCAAAGCACTGTTCCTTCTCCTGGGGCGGCTAGCTTGAATTCTGTTCATGAGGAATACGATGTAAATAGTCCTAGCTGGCCAAGAACACCTGCAAGTCCTGTGAGTTAAAACATTTCACGTTTGAAGTTGTAATGCATATTTGTATTGACTTGCAAGTATCACTGGGAGCAAATGAGAGTGGAAGGACAGGTGTCTGCGGGAGCAAGCAAGCGTAGGTGGGAGTGAGTGTGAGTGTGTGTGGGAGCAAACGAGAATGAGGTTTAATTAGGGAATGAGCAAGAGTGGGTGTGCATTAAGCCGCTCCACAATAGCTCCCCTCAGACAGCCATTCACAGCACAGCGAGAACGCCAAGCCTGATGGCAACACGAACAGGATGGAAGGTCAATATCAGTATCTTGGTCCGAGAAGACTCTTCACCAATGAAGTGCCGCATATGGTGGCAAAGCTTTCCAGCTGAGCACCCTATGCTAACTGCACACGAAACTCGAATGAAGCAGAGTTGAGAATAGTGTGAAACTGACGTTAGAGCGTGGATATGTAAAGTCACGATTTGAGGTGGATTTTGTTGGTCTTCGCTGCTTTAATTATTTTTAGTAATTATAGTTTGTTTTTCTATTCATATTAATACTTGGAATTAAAATCTCCCAAAAAATTTAGTTTTATTTATTTCATTAAAGTACTTTAGTTGTTTGTTTTTGTTTTGTTAGTTATCTTCCGTATTAGTTTTTGCTTTTTTTTCATTCTTAATTTCATTATTATTTTTAATTCATTTAATATTCTTTCGGCCAATTATTTACTATTCCTAAGTTATTTAAAATTTAAGAATTATGGAACAAAGAAGATAAGATAAATAGGCAAGAGAAACTAGGTAAATACACAAGAAGGAAAGAAAAATAATATGGGGGTAACACCACGGAACCACAGAAACAAACACAACGAACGACACACAAGCTAGACCAGCACAAAACAACACACGGGAATACAAGGCAGATGGCAAATCAAGAGTGAGCAGAGAAATATGGTTATAGATGTGCTTTGATTTTAGCAACTTTTTCTTTTTTACCACTATAGGTTTATAGCACTATTTGTCTTCCTGTTGACATTCATTGTGAAGTGCACGTATCACGTGTTCCGGTTCCCGTCCTCCACTTTGCGCTGCATTTCCTGTTTACAGGCTATTTGTAGAGCCACCTTCAGGGAGGGAGAGAGAAAATGGGATTGTGTAAGGGAGCAAGCGAATGTGGAGGAGTGACTGAGAGTGGAAGTGTGAGGGAGGGAGCAAGCAAGAAAGGAAGTGGGTGAGGGAGCGAGCGGGAGTGGGGATGAGTGTGCATGGAAAATGTAAATTAAGAAAGGAACAGTTATATTTTATGAAAAATGTCATTCTCTGTAGTAACTCAAGTATATAAAAAAGGTGATTAGCTATTCCCTACAATTGCAGACCCGTCAGCCTTCTAGCACTGTATGTTAAAGCCTTTGAATATGAGCCTTTGAAATGACTTGTGGCAGGCAAAATCCTGAGCTTCTCACTTCCAACAGGATGATGTATATCTGTCTAATCAATATAGTTTCGTACCAGCTAGAAGTATTACTACAAACCTACTACTAGGCCTGCTTGGAGGGACACTGGACCTCAACAGTGGAATACTCACCGACATAATTTACCTTGACTGTTCTAAAGTCCTCAACAAAGCGCTCAATGAAGATTATTTACTAACTAGAGCACATGAGGATACGAGGAAAATTGTTATGCGACATACAAGCCTTGGAGGGAAGACAGTGTAGGGTGAGAATTGTGTAACATTTCAGAACCAAGGACAATTACTAGTGGAGTTCCATAGGGATCAGTCCTTGGCCTGATCTTGTTCATCCTTCATACTAGTGATCTAACAATGGATATTCAGTGGAAATTCCTGATGTACGCAAATGATGCAATCTTTAACAGCCTGGATGTTAACACAAAGAAGTTGCAAGAAGATCTCAATGAAATGTATGAATAGAGCAAACTATAAATGATTCCACTGGGGGAGAATAGATTAAATATTGATGAATAATCCCCAGTGCTTATGTACAATTGGAGGACATGCAAAGACTGCAAAAAAGTCTACAAAGGACATGGTTCTCATGGTGACAGCAAACTTGAAGTTGTAATGCAATATTAGCTGCATTGTAAGGAAAGCAAATATGGCACTATTCTTGATGAGAAAGGCATTTAAGTTGTTGGACAATGTCGCTTCTTTCGTACTGCTAATACAGGAAACAAGCTTGTTGTGGAATCCATACCTGTCAAATAATTTAGACCTGGGGAGAGTACTCAGAAAGGTCACACGTTTTCCATTTTGCCCTAGAAGCCTTCTCTATGAACACAGATTGCAACTTCTACAAAGGCGGCCTCTTTGAAGTCTAATTCCAGTAATTAGTGATTTCAGTGCACGTACATTTTAATGGTTGTGCTACCTCAATTGGTAAAGATTTTTCAATTGAATTCGCAAATTATTTGTGTTATTTGTGGTTAACTGTTGGAATGAGACAATACTGTTTTGGGATTGATATTTTGGGTGGATTCTCTGTAATTCCGTTTATGACAGCAGGTGGCTGCTCGCGTTCTAACTAGTGTTGCTTTTAGAGTATATACATCACCATGTGTTTGTTCAAGTCCATAATGGATTTTGGTTGTGGGTCACCACAATGCTTTAGATTCAAATTAAACATAATCACTTGTGGACAGTAAGCGATGATTCAGATTTGTGTTCAAGGTTTCTATCAGATACGAAACTCTTTCAGCATAGCAAGAACTTTGTTTGGCAACACAGTATCATGTGCTCACTAGCTGTAAGTGCCAGATCAACTGAACTGTAAATTGCTTAGTCTATATTAATTTTGCTACTTGAAGTTTTAGATACACAAAGATGAAGTAATGGATGAAACTGCTTTTACTACAAAAGATTTTGGAATTATAAATATTTTGGCCCTGACAGTGATGTTGTAAACAGTACTGATGTAATAATTTTTATTACTTGTCTCATTCTTCTATATTTTGTTCTTTACAGAAACCTGACAGCTTGTGCAAGCTGTATGAAATGGATGATAGTCATGAACGACGTATGTGGTTGGATAAACTGCTTCAGTTCATGGAAGAACGTGGTACTCCTATTTCTGCATGCCCCACCATCTCCAAGAACCCCCTCGATCTCTTTCGCCTGTACCTGTACGTGAAGGAGAGAGGGGGCTTCATGGAGGTATGCAAGGTGCAGTGTTAAGTTCCAGTACTTAGTAGTTAATCTAATCATGTTTGTTGTTGATTTTTTTTCCACTTATTTGCAATTTTTGAAGGTGTATTTTGTTTTATGGTCTTGATAACTTTGTGAACTATTTAGTGATGTTCTGTGCGGGTTGATTAACAGCAGGAGATTGTTTCTCTGTGGTTCAGGCTTTCGTTTGGTTCCTGCTAAACTATTAAAACTACTAAAATTAAAGAAACATTTGCCTTTTTTTAAAGAGTTATGTTATATTAAATCTGCATTGAGAAACTTCTTTGGTTCCACGTAAGGTTTTGTTTCAAATGTGTGATTCATCTGTTTGTATCTTTCTTTTTAGATATTGTTTTGTTATCTGTATTAAACTATAGTATCAATTGGGGCTGTAAGTACTGTTAGAATGTAATAGGAAAGTTACCTGGAATCACTTCTTAAGACTCTGATTAGAGACTTCGAGTCTTGTTCTTGTTATTAGTAAAGAGAATTGACGCAAAATTGACTTTCCTGATAATGACATGCACAAAGAACAGAATGATATAACATGATTGGCGTGAGAACAGGAACATGGATGCGGAGATATAGTGACTTCAACTAGTAGTGATGACGTAATGTTGCGGATCCTTGGGGATCGAGACAATAGGTTTGTATTGCTAAGTAGTGCTCACTGTAACTCTAAGCATAGACAGGGGAAACTTCTTATTTTCACTTCATGCTTGGTTATCATCTAAGTGATTTGTGCAAGTGCAATATCATGAGTTCTGTTAAGCAGTTGCAAACATGAAAAAGAGAGCAATTGTCAGGAAATTAGTGACCTGTGAAATGAAAGTTTCAAAGAACAAGGAAGAAATGCGGTGCAAATATGATAATTGGAGAATTAAACCAACAAAGAATATGCTACACTGTAGAAGACATACGTACCATATGAGGCAGTTTAATTTGTACTGTATTTAACCCTAATTTTTCAAAACTAGTTTTAGTTGCAAATGTTCTAATTTGCATAATCTTATGAACTATTTGTTGGGTGCCCCACAGAATGAGAGCAGCAGAGATCAGAACATGTCTACTGGAAGTTTTTCATATTAGTTTCCCATCAGAAAATTCCTTGAGAGCTGATAACCGTTCCTGCCTATTGTTATGACATAAAATATCAATCCTTTTATATTTGTCTTATTATTATTTACTGATCAAGTACATCTCCAGTATACTTGAAATAGCTCATTCGTACAAATACTCCCATCATCTATAACAAAATTATGTCTGTGCGCCACATCTCTTGAGAGATTATTCTCTTTCAGAAAAGTAATGAACAATTACCTTGCTTCTAGCTGCATTTTCATGGGAATTTTTGAATTCCCCTCACACACTCGTTACCCTGCGGTAAACAGAGCACTAAAGCATTGTCAGAAGAATAAATGAAAAACCTGCACTTGACTGATCACAGCTCCAGAAGCATTTCTACCACGGCGGAAAACGCATGACATTCATGCAGCAGCTTTACCTGACGAGCCTTACAAGAGTTTAGTTGCACAAAGACAGTTGATTATGACACGCTTCAAGCTTTAGCACAAATATAACTTGTTTCAATCCCCTTTAATAACATAGTACTCTCTTGGACTAATGAAGATGGGAGTGAATTGTCCTTAGTTTCATGATGCTGCAAAAAAAAAGAGGAAAATTAATTTCAGTGATGCAAAGATGTTGTTAACTGTACATTTACTATTGAAACTGAAGGAAATTTGAATATCCATAAATTTTGGTGTCCCCACTTCCTCATACTGGAAGAGCATCACCAATGCAAGTCACTTTTAAATTCAAGATCACTGAAAAGTATGTGTTAAGACTAAAACAAGAGCTATAATAAGTTTTATTTTTAATATTAGTTCATTTTTAGCATACAGAACATCATTTCATTCTATTAATACAAATTACAAAATAACAAATTTACCCTAATATAAAAGAGCCCTTCATTCCCAACAAATATGAATAAACTACATTACATCTGAAAACTTAAAACAATTTTAAAAAAAATAAACTCTCTTAATTTTCATGAAAGTATTGGTGGTGATTTTTTTAATTTTTTGTTATTTTGTCTTCATTCATAGTTTATGGACTGGTACATTAATGTATCACTAGGCTCTTACACTGAAACACTCAAAAGAATGTTCTAATATAACACAGTGGAGTAAATACGGTATAATAATTTCTCCCACTACTTCATGCACCCCTTCTCATCTTCATACTCGCACCCACTTACACCCTTACCTTCTCCTTCGCCAACGACTCCACCGCCCTCCATATGACCCTTGCCCTGGCCCAATCTTGTGCTTTGACTCCATCTCTGTCTATGCCTTCGCCTTCTACCTGGTTTCCTAGCCGCTCTCGCAACCACCGAAGCTTTGACCTCCATCCTCGTATCCATTCTCACATCCATTCCTCCCATTGCCTTCAGCTCCAACTCTTCCTGTGCATTCGTGCCTGTCCCTGCGTCCACCCATTCCTCCACTCATGGTCTGCTTGCATCTTGCCAATGTTCCTGTCGTTACCTTCGTCCTGACCCTTGCCACTTCATTGCTCCGGCACCCAGCCCGACTGCCACCCCTGCCATTCCGCTTCCAGCTCATCTCTCTCCTCCACACCTGCCCCCATCTCTGCCACATCTTCACCCCCGCCTTGCCTCGTGTCCAGGTCAACCTCCCCTCTGCATTGTTTGTCGTTACAGCCTTGCCTTCATTGCCGCCTCCGCCCCGTCCCAGCCCTCAACTCTCCGCCTCTGCCCCTTGCCCAGACGATCTTACAATGCCTTTATACCCGCGTCTGCCATAACATCCACTCTTCATCTCCCCTCGGTCCTGTCCTCGCTCACATCTGTTCCCGTCCTCATCCCTATCCCCACTCCCCCTCACCACGCCTGTTCCCACCTTGCACCATCTTTGCCCAGTCTCCTTACCTGCCACACCTTCCTCTCCTCCTTGTCGTCGTCACCATCGTAACATCTGTTTGCTTCTGACTCTGTCCACGCGCTCCCCTCCGTCCATATCCTGCTTCAGCTCTTGCCTCTATACCCATTTTTGCCCCTCTGTTCTCGCCCCCGCCACTGCCCCTGCTCTCGCTTCCACTCATCATCTACTTCATTCAAATTCTGTGTTTTACAGTTAATTTACAGAAAGGGTAGTAGAAACGCCAGGCAGTGCAATAATGTACCAGCAAATTTGTTAACCAAAAAAAAAACTAAACATTTTTAGAACCCTAATAATTTGTTTATAATTTGTTACTTATATTGTTGAAATTATCTTAGTATATAGTAACTGTTAATTACAATTAATGATAAAATAATTTCTTTCATCACTGCTAAAGTGATAACATATTTTTCTACTCCCAACTTTTTTATGTAATCCAAAAGAAGTAATACACTGTTGGAAACCTGTAGTAACATATCAAAACTTCAGTGATGTTTCTAGGTTGCAGGAAAGCAACTTACAGAAAAAATCATTCAATAAGAACCTGTAAAGCAAAAATAGTGCAGCTATACGGTGGTTCAGAAAAGTACCGCTAGGCTTAAAAGGGATAATACAAAATAAAGCAAATTTAGTTAAATAGAATATTTTTTGTGAAAAATATATTTTAAACACGTTAAGTGTAATGAAAAAAGTATATACAAGATGCATTTGAATTAATTTTAAATAAAGTTTATCTTTTTGTTTTTCTTTTCCCCTCACTGCGTGTTGACATCAGGTTATCATCTTCATGTGTGTAGATGACAGCCCAATAAAACCTTTTAAAGGGATTAAATCTAAAACTTAAAACATCCTATAGGTAAACATGGTACAAAGCATCTTTGAAAAGTAAGGTCCTTTGCTTATATTTAATAAATGGTAATATTTAAAAAATGTTAATGGGACAGGACAAAGTTGTACATATGCGAGCCACCTATTGATTGTGAAGCGGATCCAAAGCTATTGAAGATAATTGAAATTCTGTACAATTGCAAAGCTCATGTTACAAGTAGATTTTTGTATCAAGTGTTATCAGCTTCTCAAATTCTTTGGGAGTTATGCCTCATTTATGGGACATACAGTAACAAATAAAGGAAAAGTTAGACAATAGCCTCTCTATGATCTTAAAGAGCAGCATGGTGTTCCCAATATCAATGCCAATAAAATCATTCAACAAGTTGCAGAGATGCTCTGATATCACAAAATGTATGCAAGATACCAAAAATACTTATCAATGAAGTGGAGGAGCATTTTTTGACCATTAAGAAGAAGACTGAGATGACTTGTTTTCCCTCATTGGCTGCGCAACAAGATATGGATATCTTACACCAGCACAGAAATAAAATAAGTCCATGCAGTGGTGCCATTCAACTTGCTTAACCTAACGAAGTCTAAAAATATTCATGCAATCTTCTTACTTGGTCTGAAAATGAATGGCTACAATATTTAGGGACAAGAAGGATTTTCTTTTAATTGATTTTGTGGAATGTGGGACATTTACATTTGACATGACTGCAAAACACTCGCCAACATAGACAAGCGATCCAAAATGGTTGGCATGGAAAATTGTGTGGCATAGTCCTTCTCAATGACAATAGTATGAAACACATTGATAACTTCAGCCCACGTGGAGGGAGGAGCAGCAAAGGCCTAGCAAACGAACAAAATCTCAATGGCGTAAGTTGGCAAGGTTGGCAAGTGCACTGCCGTTAGGGTCACGTTCTGTATCTTAATTTCTCTTCAAGTCAGCTGAGATTATTTCAACTTCATTTGTGAAGATTGTCAAGAAATAAATCAGTTTTGAAAGGGAGCTAACTCGTATAGCACATAACGCCCTGAAAACAAGTGCCGTGTCAATCAGCAAATGAGAACAAGTGATGATCATGTGCATATGTTTTCATGTGTAAAAAAAGTTTCACTGAATGGACCCTACTTGTTATTGGTTCTTCAGTTGTGTCAGTCGGGTTTCGCATTATCAAATCTATACTCGTGTATCCA